TCTCTTCTCCATTCATTGGTGCTCCTCTTCCCACAATAATCTGCCCTTGGTTCTCCTGGTCCTGTATACTCATTAAAGAAACTATAATTCCCAGCCCTCATGAAGCACCCATCAAGGAAAATGCGACCAGAGTTATAAGGGTAACACTGAGGAAGAACAGTACGTGCCTCAGCATAGCACAATACACAGTCAAGCAATGAAAGATCCCCATAACACTGGGCCAGGCCATAGTTAGTATCAGGTCCTGTCCCTACAACTGCTGTGCCAAAGCCAGTTTTCCGCATCTCATCACTGATCTTCTCCATAGTTGCAACAAAATTGGGAACAAATATAGTAGAATTATGCTCTCGTACATTGCCACATGTTACTAGGACCGTCTTGGCCCTTGGTTCTGCTATAACAGTCTTTGATAGCAGTAGTAACTTCATCACAACAAGGTGGCATAAAGAGATGAGAGAGACTACTTTCTTCATTTTTAGGACGATCCAATCAAAAATAGTATTTCTTCTTTTTTTTGGGTGAGCTATTCACTACAAAAACTGTGGAAAAAAAGGGGAGGGTTTTAGAATATCTGTGTAGCTTATAGGTTCTGATAAAAAAAAAGATCATTCCATGTTCGAACTTTACAACTTCTTTTAGTGAATCAGAAACAAGCATAAAGTTTGTCTAACAGGCGCAACAGATTGTTAATGCTTAAGCTAAAATGTTCACAACATGTTTCAACAACTATATCACAATTTCACACATAATCTGAGGTTGAATTCCAAAAACTTATCTGTTCCTGAGAAGAAAGGCAAGTTGAAGACCCAGAGGGACTTTGGAAGAAAAAAATCGTGAAGTAACCAAAGAGGGCAGAATCTCAGTTCGTACTTCCCTTTTCTGTGCATCCTCGAATTCTCAAAGAAATGAAAGAAGTACTGCTACTTTGGCAGCAATCATCATTAGAAAGATAGATTTTGGTTCTTTTTCCATGTTTATCACAGAGATGTAAAAAAAACTAAAGTTTTAAACTTGCTCTCACTTACATGACGTATGAATGATGCTGATGTATATGGACCAACAGTTTGAAAAATGAGGAGCAGAATAGAAGCCACTCCACCCAAAGACCCCCACTTTGAATTAATAGTAATAATTTATTAACAATCGTTTTTTAATCAACTTTTTAAAAATGCAGCTAAATAAAATAAAATAAAATTGTTAAGACAGTTGGTGGAGGGGTCTGAAACACAGACAGAGTATGAGATTGAAGGTGACGAAAATAGGAAAAGAATATGACAAAACTTATGACAGCTGTTTATATGTTTTTTAAGACATTTGCTTAGCAATTTTTTTTTCAAATTTATAGATTTGAAGGAGAAATTCATTAATGAATCACATAAAATTGATTTTCAATAAATGATTAGAAAAAAAAAGTGAGAAGAGAATATAAAGATAATCTTATCTAACTTTCTCCACAATAATATATATATATATATATATATATATATATAATATATTCAATTTAAAACTGATACCTTTAACTTTCTCCATAATTATATCTTAAACTCAACCAATATGATTATAATAAATTAGGAAACACTAAATTATGTTTGTTCAATTAGATCTTGATATCCTAATTTAACTTATGAAAAAAAATGTATTAAAAACAGTTAGATAGATTTTGAGTACTAAAATAACGAGTAGACAATTATTTATTTAATTGCTTATGATTTTATTATCATTAAAAAATATCAATTGGTTATATATATGAAAAAAATTATCAAATTTCTTGTAGGTTTTACTAAGAATCGAAAAAAAAGAACGAACATTTATCTCTGTATGGACTTCCTTTCTATGTTATCTGTTTATAAAAATAAAAACTTCTATTTTTTGCTCGGTTACTAGAAAATAAGAAAAATATGAAGAAAAAAAGATAAATACAATAAAAATATACTTATTTATTAAAAATAACTTAAATAAATATAATTTTATTATTATTTTAAAAACAAACGGATTAACACTAAAGAAAAAAAAAGTGGGTATTTATTGGAACGAAAACTTCCCCCACAACAAAACCTAACCAATTTATTACGGACCCCACACGTGTCAACAACCATTCATATCAGCCCACACGAACCAAACCAGTGATCAACAACACAGTCTGAAGAAAACCAAAAAAACAAGAATGAACCAAAAATAACTTTCGTTGTTCATGTCGCTTAGTTTGTTATACAAGAACTCGAAGCAAGTGTTGTTAAATATAAAAATACGAAAGGTTGGTACAGAATTTCAGAGGAAATTGTTACTTACCTATGATTCGGTCGGTCTGCATAGAAGAAGAAGCACTGGAAAATGGGAAGTGAAATTGAAGTTGGTGGTGTGAGAGAATGGGAGGATTTAACGAAGAGACAGGTCAACGAAAGTTGAGACAAAAAGTGAGTAATGTAAGTTTGAAAATTGGAAGTCTTTTGGTATGCAGAGAGAGAAAATTGAATCAGTGGAAATAAAACAGAGTATGACAACGATACGAGTAGTGTATGCAAGAAAACCAATAGTGTAATCAAATGTAGCTGCGTGGTAACATCGTACCTTTGAATCGTTCTACATTTTTGGAAGTCGTCAATATACACTGAACTTACCATCTTGCCCTGCAATTTAATCTATTTTTTATGTTCAGTTTCTTCATTTAAAAAACATATTTCTACGTTTTTGAAACTATTTTTTAGTTTAGAAACAAATGCTGATGTAACACAAATGTCTGATTCTAATCCTATATAATATTATATGAACAATCTCATTTCTACCAACTCTTGTGGAAGAAAATATAGAAAATTGTCTGAAATTATTTTAGTAGAGTAAGTGATATGAACCATAACTTTTAATCTGAAAAAAAAAAAGAAACTTAACGTGTAGGGTTTTGGAATTAATAGTAAGGAGAAACTTCCATGCATTTCACTGTATTTGCTCACAGAAGCACTCAATTTCTTGGTCATTAAAAGGACAAAGGAAGTCAACTATAGAACTAGTGATAGATGTTAAGTGTTTAAAATAAATTGAAAGTTTCACGTTATGAAAATAAGTAATATAATTAATATATAAGTAGAATACCTTATAAGTTTGTTGAAAGTGATATTATAATCTTTTATATAAACTTGTTTATGAATTATTAGTGTCAAATTTTTCGTTCTCAATCATCTAAAAATAGTCAAATACAAACAATAACAATGACTCTAATTCTTTATTTGGAAAAGAAGGCATCTTTTATGTTTACCCAACCCCAATGTTCACTTCTCAATGGATTTTTGGATTAATAAAATGGAATTTTTTAAATTATTTAATAGAATTTTTAATTCTTATATTTATATTTATAATTATTTAATGTTTCCTTTTCTATTTATTAAATTAACATTAATATCATTTCTTCCATTTTGTTCCTAGAAATAAATCATAAGCATGTAAAAAGAGTAATTATATTATCAAACTTTGTTTTATTATTATTATTATTATTATTATTATTATTATTTAAACAACCTCAACACAGATCTACCTTAAAAATCATATTGAATGTTTTTAAAAACATAAAGAATATGTTGAATAACAAATAAATAAATATATATGAAATCATATTACAATTATAAAGACAAAATTGCTATTAATTCATATTAAAGATGAGGATATATATACAGAAAAGGCTTTAGACGTATGTTATTTTGGACTTTTAACGTCTAATATCTATCCGACGTCTATATGGGTGATGTTAATGAGATGTCAGACCTAATAAGTTAGACGTATATAGACGTCCGATCCATACAGGTCATACGTCTATATAAATGTTTGACACTATAGATCAGACGTCAAAAACATTGCCGTATTTGATTGGATCTTTTTCCGCTTGAGGCCTCTCGGGTTGCTCCTAGCTCATGGTGATTCGAGTTTAGAACAAAATATTTTAGTTGAAGAGAATGTATTATACGTTTTTTTTTTTGTATTGGATGGTTTTAAAAACGTAGTGAAGAGAATTTGAGGAGTGCAAAACACAAGAAATCGCCGCCCAAGAACGCCGCCCAAGGACACAAGCAAAACTGCACCAAAACCCAACGAAAACGTATTTTAATCGGTTCAAATAAAAGATAATTCATCAAAGAGTGATGTAATCGGAGTAAAATTAATTTAAAACGGTGCAAAAGTGAGAAAACGAACCTGAAAAGCGTAACCCTTAGAGAGAGAACGCGAGGAAGATGATGAACATTAAGTGCGCGTAACTACTGCCTCGCGTTCGCGATGTTTTAATGCAGCCATATAGAAGTCGGGTCCGCCCACATCAGACGTCTATATGGCTTTAGAAGCCGGATTGGCAGGATCTGACGTCTAAATGGAGTTAAAATTTGACTTTTTAGATTTAAAAAATGAGTATATAGAAGTCGGTTCCCCCCACATCGAACGTCTATATGGCTGTAGAAGTCGGATTGGCGGGATTTGACGTCTAAATGGAGTTAAAAAGTAACTTTTTAGATTTCAAAAATGAGTATATAAAAGTCTGTTTTCCCCATATCAGACGTCTATATGGCTGTAGAAGTCGGATTGGCGGAATCTGACGTCTAAATGGAGTTAAAAAATGACTTTTTAGATTTAAAAAATGAGTATATAGAAGTCGGTTCCCCCCACATCGAATGTCTATATGGCTGTAGAAGTCGGATTGGCGGGACCTGACGTCTAAATGGAGTTAAAAAGTAACTTTTTAGATTTCAAAAATGAGTATATAAAAGTCGATTTCCCCCACATCGGACGTCTATATGGCTGTAGAAGTCGGATTGGCGGAACCTGACGTCTAAATGGAGTTAAAAAGTGACTTTTTAGATTTAAAAAATGAGTATATAGAAGTCGGTTCCCCCCACATCGGACGTCTATATGGCTGTAGAAGTCGGATTTGCAGGATCTGACGTCTAAATGGAGTTAAAAAATGACTTTTTAGACTTCAAAAATGAGTATATAGAAGTCTGTTCCCCCACATCAGATGTCTATATGGCTGTAGAAGTCGGATTGGCGGGATCTGACGTCTAAATGGAGTTAAAAAGTAACTTTTTAGATTTCAAAAATGAGTATATAAAAGTCGATTTCCCCCACATCGGACGTCTATATGGCTGTAGAAGTCGGATTGGCGGAATCTGACGTCTAAATGGAGTTAAAAAGTGACTTTTTAGATTTAAAAAATGAGTATATAGAAGTCGGTTCCCCCCACACTGGACGTCTATATGGCTGTAGAAGTCGGATTTGCAGGATCTGACGTCTAAATGGAGTTAAAAAATGACTTTTTAGACTTCAAAAATGAGTATATAGAAGTCTGTTCCCCCACATCAGATGTCTATATGGCTTTAGAAGTCGGATTGGCGGGATCTGACGTCTAAATGGAGTCAAAAAGTGACTTTTTAGATTTCAAAAATGAGTATATAGAAGTCTGTTCCCCATATCAGATGTATATATGGCTTTAGACGTTTGTTTAGTGAAAACAAC